TGGCTGTTTGTGGAAAAGAGGACTCAAGTGTCCAATCATATCAATATTTGCTGAAAGAGTGGACGAAACAGCTTCAATGTGTTGCGTTCTTGAAGTGGCTAATGTAGGACAGTAATCTTGGCTGCATTCATCACATCCGCATTGCAAGGGGTTGGGAGCTTTTCGGTGAACAAATAATCACAATAAATTCTGCTTTTTATTGCATATTTCAAGGGACCCGAGGATGTTTGAAGTGCAAGGAAGGATTTAATTTTGCCTCTTGCCTCTCCCCACTCCACACAGAGTCTAATTTGCTCAAATTTTGAATGTGCACATCTACCAAACACTGAGTATTTGTATCTGATTGTTCATTTCTGGTTGAATTTTTACTTCAGTGGTAACGAGATTGCAGGGGGATCCTGGAGGGTTACACTGTGGTCATATTTGATTCATTTTGTGAATATTTTAGTTTGCTCTTAAAAATGTTACTGCCCCTCAGTCAGATTCAGCTGAACTCAAGCTCAGAGACTTCACGTCACACACAGAGTCGAGATGCGATTGTTATATAGCTGGGGTCACCTCCACAGACACGCTGCGCTTTGATTTGTTTTCAAAAGTTTGTGTGTCTCTCTGTCTCTGTCTCTGTCTCTCTCTCCCTCTCTCTCTCTCTCTCTCTCTCTCTCTCTCTCTCTCTCTCTCTCTCTCTCCCTTTCTAGGCTGACCACCTTTGTGATGAAGTCATTTGGTGAAGCGAAGGATTACATCTTTGTCGATCCCAAGCACATTTTTGATGCCAAGAAGTGGTTGTACTCAAAGCAAGGGAGTGACGGCTGCATCCAATCTGTGGGCAGACTCTTCCATAATGGCATGAAGGTGATGACGCCAGTATCCTCATTGACATATTTGTACGCGATGAACCCAGAACTGTCAGCCACAATGTGACCACTCGTGCAATCGTTAGAGATACAATCTGATGTAGGGATGGTCCAATGCAATCCATTGGATCGGTATTGAGTTTGATTATGTCCAAAATGACTGGATCCATATCGAATAGTTTTTTTTTTTTTTTTAATGAGATGTACAATTCAATCCACAAACCCAAATTTAATCACTGTGCAGAGACGAGGTGTTGCCATGTGTTTTCGTCACGTGAGCAGTTGTTGGATTGTGATTGTGGTGTTTTTGGATGTCAGGATCAAACCAATTACATCCACGCATAATGAACAACTCTTAGCATGACACAAAGATCTGTGTCGGATTGATATCGGCCAATCCGCGAGGCTGCAGTCTTGGTATTGGATCTCAAAAAGTGGTTGCGCGCCACTCCTAATATCATATTCGACTTCACACCATCAGGATTTTGGGGGGGGCGTTGAAGTGACCAGCTTTCATAAAAAATTCATTTTTCCTTTCATTTGTTGTTTATTTGAAAAGGGACATAAGCCACAACATTGATGACAGAAAAACAGTCTTCAATGTACCGCATCACAATATTCGTAACTCACGCCAGCAAACAAGTCCACACACTTTCTTCGCAGCTGCGCCAAGTGACCAATGCCGGCTCCTTTTTGGCTCGCGTTGGCAGCTGGGCTGGCAATGTTGTCCAAGTCCACAGACTGCAATCATTATATTTTGTCCTATATTGTCAAGTGTCCACTTTTGACCTGGCGTGTATGTGATGCAGTCATAAAATCATCGAAGCCGTTGGGCTGCGGCGTTGCTGGGCAGGTTCGATCTTCACTTGATCTGTAATCGCATCATGAGAGTAGCTCAAACCACGATCGGCATCTAAACTGTTGAAAATGTCTTGCTCTCTTTGACAAGGCAAAACACACATGCTGTTTTTGCCTAAAAAGTGCTGATTTTAGAGTTATGAGGATTAGTGTTTCTATATCCAGTTTATATTACTGTATTCGTTTTATTGCTCCTGTCTGTTAGTTGAATGTTACAGGACCAATGTAAGAAGTATACAATGATTCATGAATAAATATGTTAATGTCTCATCAGGGAGGAGTGAGTGATGACGTGTCCCTAACGGCTTACGTCGTTGCCGCCCTGTTGGAACTGGACTCCGACATTGAAGTGAGTCACACGCCACTCCCATTTGGAAAACATTTGGCCGCCAACCTCATCGGGGGTCATGCTTAGTTCGATCTTCATTTTTCGACGTATGAATATGGATATAATACGTGGACATTTTTGTGTTCATCGCACCTTGCCAGCTGTGATGTTAGCTGTTCGCTGTCTGCGTCCTCCTGGACGCGATCGCCAACCTTCCTATTCACCTTTATTCATCCAATAGAACAGCAGATGCGTCTGGCCGGTGGTGTCAAATGTCGTTTCGTTTTTTTTCGAGCGCAGTTCAACATGGGATTAGCATTTGAGAAAATGTCACTCTGGGAAGATTTTGAATTTTTTAAAGAAATTCATTTTGCACCCAAGTCAGTCTGTCGATTTTTTTTCCATGCACAATTTTTCCACAATAACCAAATTACAGTGCACTTAACACCGAATTTACCAAGATGGTTAAAATCACACTCTGCTTTCAAGGGATTGCCCATTTTTTGTGAAAATAAGCCACTGCTCACCATGCCGCCTTTACAACGGGTGGAATTCCGAGTACACTTTTGCCACGATGATGGTGGTGGAGAACTGTGGAGCGGATGTGAGCTTCCTGCCCCCAGCAAGACAGGAGGGTCTTATATTGAGACTCTTGCACGATTATTATTGAAACGATCAACCTCTTCAATTTATCTCAATATGTGTCATTTCACGGCTGTTGCATGTTCACGTTAAATCTGACTGAAAAAGGACATTTTATAATAATAATAATAATTATAAAATTTTCTTGTCTGAAAATGTTTGGAAGCAAACGGTTCACCCCAAGATGCACAGAGCAGTCATTTTTGTGATTTCCCCATTGAGACGATTGGATCGCTGATATTTTTGCCGATGTTCTGTGACAGGATCCTGTGATCCAGAGGTGTCTGGGTTGTCTGAAGGAGGCAGCCGGCCAGATGGACAACTTGTACACCACAGCGCTGATGTCCTACACCTTCACCCTGGCTCGGGATGAGGAGATGAGGGTCAAACTCATCACCTACTTGCACCAGAAGTCCAGTACAATGGGTACATCATAATATGACTTACAGCACTCAGTGTGGCTTCGCTTTCAAAACGTTTCTGTGGTTGCACCTCTTGAAATCGACAGTCACAATAATAAATATGAATTTAGCTCTGACAGTTGGAAGCAAAGCTGAGTTTTATAGTTTCGCATTTTATTGTGCTGCCCTATTCTCTCGTTTGATTCCATGTTGCTGATTTCAATTGTTGAACAACGCAATGTTTCCCCAGTCATTTATGATCCATGTTGATTGCTAATGTTGTCGTGGCAGGAGGAACCCGCCACTGGCACCGAGAGGGCATCTCTGGGAAAGGAGTGGATTCTCTGGAGGTGGAGATCACCTCCTATGTGCTGCTGGCACTGCTCTCAGGGCCCGCCCTGCCAGATTTTGGGCTGGACTATAGCTCCGGCATCGTGCGCTGGCTCACGCAGCAGCAAAATCCGTACGGAGGCTTCTCTTCCACGCAGGTAAGCAAAGCTGCGAGCGGGAGTTTGGAGAAGGTTTCACCATCCGGGCAGACTACTTTGACTCTGTACGCTTGTGCTCCTCAGGACACCGTAGTGGCCCTCCAGGCATTGGCGAAATACGCCGCTGCCACGTACAGCGTTGGCGGCAGGACTGTCGTGACGGTGACATCATTAGGAGGTCTGAACAAGGAGTTCATCGTGGACCAGAGCAATCGGCTCCTGTACCAGGAGGAGGAGCTGAGCGAAGTCCCTGGAGAATACACCGTTCGAGCCGAGGGGCAGAGCTGTGTTCTGGCACAGGTAAGATCTCACTTGGCAACGTATCAGAGTTTTTCACGTGCACGCCTTTCACATGCAAATAATTACCAGATAATTAGCACTTGATCCAGGTGTTAGCTGTTGCTGCTTGAGGCTTCAAAATCTGACCTTTGTCCTCTACTCGAGCGCTGACGTGAGGGATGAACTTCAGGCATCGTTTCCACAACCTTGCACTCGTGATCCAATTTCTTGTAACACAGTTCGTACATTACCTGCGGAAATCTGATTCCTACTGTACCCGCGATTTTGATTCTCAAGTTGAAGCGTCATGCGCGATTGAGATGGAAGCGTATTCAAAGAACACACGTTGGTCGTGTTCCCTGCCAGATCTCCATGCATTACAACATCCCCCCTCCTCCTGACTTTTCTGCCTTCGAAATCACTGCGGACGCCATTTCAAAGTGCAGCTCCAGCAAGCCACGGCTCCACCTCTCTGTCCACGTCAGGTAAGTGCGCTTGCATGTCTCTCTCTGCCTCTCCAGATTACTCATTTTGTCGATTTGCGTCCATGGATTGTCCTCAAAAGCATTTTGAGCTCAATTATTGGAAACTCAGTAGGCGGGGGATGCCAAAGGCAGGGCACACAGAGACGAACAATCATCCGCGCTCACACTCACACTTAGGGGACAATTGAGAGTGCTCGATCAGCTTTCCATGCACGTTTTTGGAATGTGGGAGGAAACCGGAGTACCCACGCAGGCCCGGGGAGAACATGCAAACTCCACACAGGGAGGCCGGAGCTGGGATTGAACCTGGTACCTCTGCACTGTAAGGTCGCCGCGCTAACCACTGGATCACCGAGCCGTCCCTAATATATTTCATTTTTCAAAATATGCACTATAAAAGCAAACAACAAAACAACCACATGCTCTTGATTTCTTTCCCCTGAAAACGTCTGTGGCCATGCTCGATTTTGAATCTGTTTATTTCTTGAGAGTTGCTGAGAAACCATTTTGTGTTTGCAGTTACAAGGGTCGGAGAGAGGAGACAAACATGGTCATCATTAACATCAGACTCCTCTCTGGACACATTTTGGAACAAAGCTCTCTGGAGATAGTAAATTCCGATTTTTTTTGTTCTCCCCTCAAATATTGGTGTGTCACCTGTTACCATTTGAACTACGCTGATGGTGCTTGACTGTGTGATGCTCCAGCTCAGGAACAACGAATCAGTGAAGCGTGTGGAAGTGGAAGACGGTTATGTCAACATCTACTTGGACCGGGTAAGAGCTTTGTTTCGTTTCATCTGTAAAATGTCCTTGATTGAAATTCGATGACCAATGCTCGAAATCAATGAAATCGCGTTATAGTACCTTTACACACCTTTGCAGATTCAGACACAATTGTCTGTACGGTTCCTCCCCTCTCCTCCCTCAAGCACTCTCACCTGCACAAATTGATTGGAAGGAGGCCGATGAAAGAGCATGTCTGCAAATTATTTCACTGAGATGAAAACAAACGGCATTTCGCTGTCATTTAGTAAGTTTTATTGGCAGATAAAGTACTTTCAGTTTGTTTTTTTTAAATCACCCTCATTTTTGTCAAATATTTGATAATGAAATTGTTTTTTCCAAATGTAGGTTTATTTAGTTTTTCCATTTTCGAAAACTACAATAACCTTTCCGGGTCACATATACTGTAAGTGATCATATGTCGAGGAACTGTTTTTTATTGATGAGATTGAGTGATTTCACAGAAACCTCAAGCTGTTAAAATGTGACAGTTTTATAAAGACACGTCCATCAAAGTCCGTGAAATGATATCGAGGAGAAAATGTCTTTTTTCTGCTGAGCTTTTTCCTTTCCCAAATTTGATATCGTCAGTCAATGACTGTGGAACTAATTCGATGATATTCACCCTGCATGTCAATTCAAGTGGAGGCCACAATTTTACAAAAAAATATGTTCAAGCACATTTCAAGTGACACAAAATGTTGGCCGTCTTCCATTATTTCCTTCAATGGACCGCGCAGGGCGATGATGCCGCAGCATTCAGGTCGCAGATCAGGCTATCACCTTGCAATAGAAGCGCAAGCCCTTTCAGTGGTGTTCGTTTTGTGTTTGCAGCTGACGAAAGGTGAGACGGCGGTTTACAGCATGACGCTGGAGCAGGACATGCTCGTCGAGAACCTGAAGGCAGCTGTGGTCAAAGTCTACGACTACTACCAGCCAAGTAAGATCCTCTTCTGCTTCTGTCACATTTTTCCAATGGAACACCAGCTTGGAACTCAAACAGTCTTGTATCCAACATTGTACAGTCCATATTGTTTTCTGTGTGTTCTTTTTCCTTGTTCCCCTGTCGAGGATGTTGATCTGATTTTATTTTTATTCGCAGCTGATGTGGCCACGACCGAGTACACATCACCCTGTGAGAAGAGTAAGTCACCTGCATGATATGGTGCAAATTGAAGACACACACGCACACACACACACACACACACACACACACACACACACACACACACACACACACACACACACACACAAATCAGTTCATCAATGATTGATGGTGCCAGTTTAACTGATTAATTATTTGTGTTGTGTCCTGCAGGAGAAACAGTCAGAGAAACAGTTGAAGTTGGTGCCATGGAGCATACTGGACTGGCTTCAAAGGTTCCATTCTCATTTTAATTTCAATTTCAATCAAATCAAATGCTTATACTAGTTAAAAAAGATATTAGTGATTTTGCTTACGCAGTACAAACTGGGTGACCAGACAGTACATAGTTAGATGGAGAAATAACAAAAATTGTGTTTGCTTTGCAGCCGACGTTAGCAACGAGCTTTCACTGAACATTGAGGAGACTACTCGGATTCATATCTGGAAGATCAGATGTTCATCCAACTTTGGAACTTAAGGGAATTGCCGTGATTGCAAATAATGTTCTTTCCCTCTCTGTGTTGCTTTCTTTTAAAATCGGGATTCACTTCATTCTGTAGTTATTGCTTCCGCTCAACACTGGACATCTTTTCACATGTTCAACCCACTGGAACCAAGAAAATTAGACTGCGCTCTGTCATTGGTTTCATAGGATTGACAAATTCATGTTTTCCAACTCAAAGCGGAAGATGATACATTACAAGAGACCAATAACTGCAGGAAAAAATAAATAAATAAATAAAAGAGTGCTATGTGTGTGGAGGGAATGGGGTGTGTGTTTTTACAGAAGATAAAGCTTATCACAGTAGTACCATACAATTTGAAATGTAACAGTCATGAAATAAAATGGACAACAATAAAGAACAAAATGATATTGTCATAGTGTTTCATTTCAATCGTATACTTCCATTCAGGCACTTTTTTTTATATACTGTATATTTTTACTTTGATTCACGACAAACAACATTAGCATATCAACAGAAAGGATTTCACAGCCTTGCCATTGTCAAATTTGGTTTGCACACGCCAAGTGTGCAGGAAGAGAAAAGGCCAGGAAGACATAATATATTTTGGTCTTTCGAATAATTTTAGGAGGAAAAGGTCACTGTCTGAGGCACAAAAAACATAATTATTCTGACTAAACTCCTCAACTACGCACAGTTCCACATCCTCCTCCCGTGCTTGTTACAAACTGGCCTTCTTGTGTGGAGTTTGCATGTTCTCCCCGTGCCTGTGTGGGTTTTCTCCAATGTACTCCGGTTTCCTCCGACATTCCAAAAACACGCATGGCAGGTTCATGCAACACTCTAAACCAGGGGTGCCCAAACTTTTTTGACCAAAGATCTACAATCGATCAACCAACCTCCCGCGATCGACCCTTACCGCGCACGTGCCCATACGAATGCACGTACACACGCATGACATGATGAGCAATAGCCTGACGCTGAGGCATGCGACGCATTTAGGCAGCCTGTTAACGATCGTAGCTCATGCGAACCGTTTTAAAGTGCTTCTCTCTGCCCTCCAGATTCCCATTCTTTGCCCGTGGCCTCGGTGAATTGTACATGAAACAAACCCTGAATGAAAATAATGATCTTGATAAAAGATATAGTTCAACAGCTCTGATCACAAGCTGCACTTGCAGACTGCTGACCACTCACAAATTCCGCTGATGCAGGTCACACGCCACCGTAGGTTAAAGATGGCCTGCTTTATTTTATTTTATTTCTTGAATACTTTTTGTGAAAGTGAGACTGATAGAATGATTGGGGTGCGGTTTGCATTAACACAAAAAATATATTACGAACATGCATCAAGACACACAAATGTTTGTTTTTTCCTCTACACTCCTCGCGATCGACTTGGGACCAGTCCACGAGCAACCGGTCGATCGCGACGGCACCCCTGCTCTAAACTGTGCCAAGGTCTGAGTGTGAACGCGGATGGTTGTTCATCAATGTGTGCTTTGCGATTGGCTGGCAACCACTTCAGGGTGTCCCCCGCCTACTACCCGAAGACAGCGGGGATAGGCTCCAGCACACCCGTGTGAGGATAAAGCGGAACAGAAAATGGATGGATGGAGGACTGGAATCCGTGCAGCCAAGACACACGCCATTAAATGAAGACAAAAGAGTGCTGCACAAAAAAAAAAAAAATTCGACTTCATTTAATTTGTAAAAGTAGGTCTGTTTCTGATCGTGTTCGCGCCTGTAGAGAAGGCCTCAAAGGCCCTCGTGGAACAACAAATGTGATGAATCCTTCCACAGCAGACTAATCACAACCTAATGACGGTCACATTTCCATTGTAAACGTGGCAGTTTGTTCATGAAAACTACTTTTCACCAACCTTTTCACGCACCCATGCACATGCGCACACACACGCATGCCATGATGAGCAATAGCCATAACGACCATGAATGTGAATGAAACAGAAAAATAAAGTCGATGCAAGAGATTGTGAAAAGGAAATCACTGCCTATCTTAGTCGATCGTAGCTCACGTGTACCCTTTTGAAATACGTCTCCTTGCACTTCAGATTCATTCTTTGCCAGTGCCATTGGCGAATTGCGGGTAAAACAAACTTTGAATGACAACAACAACAACAAAAAAAAGATATCACAATCGATATTTCGGTCAACTACGCCAGCCACCTGGTTATGGCGTTCCATGTAGGCTTTCCCTGCCAGCATCTTACACCCTGCAGTTATGTGTTGGATCGTCTCAGGTGCCTCTTTGCACAACCTACACCTTGGGTCTTGTCTGGTGTGGTATATCTGGGCCTCAATGGCTCTGGTGCTCAGGGCCTGCTCCTGAGCAGCCAGGATGAGTGCCTCTGTGCTGTCCTTCAGGCCAGCCCTCTCTAGCCACTGATAGGACTTCTGGAGATCAGCCACTTCAGTTATGGTCCGGTGGTACATCCCGTGTAGG